AGACCAGATGAGATGCCCCCTGCAAGTCCTTCTGGGCCACCTCCTTCTCTGGTCACATTTGAGGTATAAATGCAGCAGAATACCTTCCACTGTTCAGCTAGTACCTATTCTGGAGAGGATGTTTCCTGAAGCGTTCCAAAGTCACCTCCTCTCTCCTGGTCTTGTGTTTTCGCTGCTCTTCCCGTGCACTTGCCTGACATTTGAATGAGTGGATAACAAATATTATGTCAAAACAAGGATGATAAAAACAAAAACAAACAGAAAGACTGTCCCTGCAGTCACAGTAAGTCAGGGAGGAGAAAACTAGAGGTACTTACATTAGTGTTGGCTGGCACCCTTCTTTAATGGCAAAACAAGAGTGTTTTGGATATAAGCTTTACAACTAGCAAAAAAACCCCTAAGCAATAAGCCTCCAAAACACTCTCCATTCCAAGGGAAAGCATGCCTTCTCAGAAAAAGAGAAAAAGAGCCCACCCCCAGTTTTGCTTTTCCTCTGAAAAGTACAGCAACTAAAACTGTTCAGAGCCTTATTCCCCTCCCACCCAAAAAGAGCTGGCAGTACCTGTCAGAGAAAAAACAAAACAAGCTTTGTAGCATTTTAAGGGCAAGCACACTTTTATTCCTGCATAAGTGATTGTGGACTAGCACCTGCTTCCTCAAATACATCTGAGAAAAGGGGGTTCAATCCACAAGAACTTCCGCTAGAATAAAAATGTGCTGGTCAAGTGTTGCAAAGCGCTTGTTTTGGCTGCAAATAACTAACACAGCTACTCCTCTGGAATTCATACTTTTATTTACTTTGTTTATAGTCCACCTTTCTCACTAAGACTCTGTTGGAAAAGGCAAATGTCTGGTGTACAAAGACGAAGAGAAGACCCTGCAGGAGGCTGCAAGAAGACAATTAGATAGGATAGTGAGGTCAGCGCCTTCTCTCTCCTGTTAAGTGTCATTCCTCGCCTGTCTCCAGATTGCTACTCTTAGGGCAATTTCCCCCTTCTTCTCAGAAGTGCCACACTCAGTCTTACCCTCTCTCTCAGCTAGAGATGTCATTTGGAACCTCTCTCTGTCTCTCCTCTTTCCTATCAAGTATATTAATTCCTAAATAAACCTTTATCTACTCTTTAATCAGGTTTTGTGCCACTGCTGCATCAATTACTCTGCCAACAGACTGAAGGCAGATTTTATGAAAAAGCTGAGACACTACGTGAAAAGGTGAAACTACGTTAAGGGGCAGGATACTGTGGCAATGCTCTCAGGGAAAACAGAGCTAATAAGGGGGAGTCTCCATCCTAGGACTTATCAGGAAAGGGACTGAAAATAAAACAGACATTATTGCAATGCCCTTGTATAGAGCTATAGTACAGCCACATTTGGAATACTGTGTGCCAAGCCAGAAGAAATATGAAGGAGGGCAAGGGAAAGGGTAAAGGTTCCCTTGCTCAAAAGCCAGTCGAGTCCAACTCTAGGGTTGCAGTGCTCATCTCCGTTTCAAAGCCGAAGAGCCAGCGCTGTCTGAAGATGTTTCCGTGGTCATGTGGCCAGCATGACTAAACACCAAGGCGCACGGAACGCTGTTACCTTCCCACCAAAGTGGTACCTATTTATCTACTTGCGATTTCTTGCTTTCGAACTGCTAGGTTGGCAGGAGCTGGAACTAGAGACGGGAGCTCACTCCGTCATGCGGCACACTCGGGTCTCGAACTGCTGAACTACTGACCTTCCACAGCCTGCAGTTCAGCATCTTAACCACTTGAGCCACCGCAGCTCCATCTGAAGAAGGGCAAACAAGACAATTAAAGGGTTGGAGCACCTTTCCTATGAGGAAAGGCTAGAGAGTCAAAAAAGACAGTTGGGGGGGGGCATGATAGAGGTTTATAAAATTTTACATGCTCAGGAATGAAGGAACTTTTTCTCCCTCTCCCATAATATTAGAACTCAGTGGCACCCAATAAAGTTGTTGAGTAAAAGTTTCAAGACAGACAAAGGGGAGTATTTATTTACTCAACAAGTACTCCAACTGTGGAATTCACTGCCAGTGAAGGCAGTGATGGTCACAAGCAGATAGCTAGCTTTAGAGGAGGGTTGGACAGATTGAGGGAGGAGAGGCCATCAATGGTGACTGAAAGGCCCTTCCATCTATGGAGGCAGCAAGCTCCTGAATGCCAGTGCTAGGAGGCAACAGCAGCAGGGGAGCCTCTATGCCCTGTTTGTTTGGCCCTCCAGGGCAACTGGTTGGCTGCTGCGTGAAACACCATGTTGGACCAGAGAGACCAGCATTCTGATACAGGTGAGTCACGGCATGTTTTAATTTCAAGCAATCTACTATTTTTCCCAAACAGATACAGAAGTCCAAGTCACTTCTTTAAAATATGTATAACCCTTCTTTCTCCTAACCATTAGTACTCAAAGTGATTTACAACAAAAAGGAGAGCCCCATCACACAGCAGAATTAAAAAAATACACAGATGAAAAGCTATTCACAGCAAACACTGCACAAACCACAAAGGCTGCTGTTGACCCACACCAAATGCCCTGAATAATTCAGCTTTATATGGTTTCTTACGAAATGAAAGGATGAGTACTGTCTTTGTGCATTAAAAATAAAGACCACTCCACAGTAAAAGCCAAGCCTACACAGCATCTGTTCTTCTCACCTGCCTGGAGATTGGCATATACCCCCAAAGCCTTTGGAGAATAACATTGCCAGAAACAATACAAGGGATACCTAATTCTGAAGCTGTTTTTTTGTTTTTCCTGATGGGGCTCTTCTGCCTTTAATAGCTTAGGTGTACACAAGAAAATCAGGAAATGAAGGTCCTCTCCCCCTCAGTCATGCAATGTACTAGGCGCCTTTCTGAAAGGAAGACTGAAAACTATAGGCAGTCCTCCTATATGGAGAAGGCAGTTTGAACAAGCATAGTTTCTCTTACCTTCAGAGGCCACAGAGGGAAATTGGCTATCCTACCAGGGGTAGGCTCATTAAATCTAATCCCACCCCCTGCATACCCATCCGCCCAGCCTCAGCAAAATACAGCCCAGGTCAGTGTATATTTTACATCTCCCCACAGAACAGCAGCTTGAGTGCAAAAAACCAAAAACAGAACCACTCTACTAATCTAACCTCACCTTTCTTCTTCCTCAAGGTCAATAAAGCCTCTGAAAGTTTAAAGAAAGGATTTAATAATTCCCAAAACCAACAGCTGTGAGTCATAGGTGGAGGCAGAAAAGAGATACTCACCATCTCCACTGCTACTCTCCTAGACAATGAAGACAACAACCCATCCCCCTTCAGCTCTCCTTTTATCCCAAAGGCCCCTTTCAGAAGCACCTTTAACCCGGAAGAAGCCTCACTTATTAAAGCCCCAGGCCTTCCTTTTTTCCTCCCTTCAAAGACCAAACTTCTGTCTCCCCTTACTAGACAGAGCACAACAGTTAGGCAAAAATGTGCCCACAGAAGGAAATTTGCTTGTGGAACGTAGTCACTTTTGCCATGTTCTTTTTTAAATCAAAAAGAAAGGATGTCAGAGACTATCCCAAAGGGTTTGCATAATCTACATATTCAGGCGACTGGCCTGGTGTGCAGAAAATGTGACACTGCCAAAAGAAAAAGACACACACACCCCATAGCCAGATGAGGACTGAGTTTGGGGAGAAGAAATGGAAAGTTGGCCCTAAATCCAATTCAAGGAGAAACGGGGGAGGAGAACTGCTTAAGCCTCTTAGTATCCTGGAATCACAGAGATTGGTGGTAGAGATTTCCAAGCTGTGCCCCCTTCCATAATTCCTTGTGAGCCCTGCCTTGTTTTAGAACATAAGAAGCACCTGAAAACTGTAGCTGTGGATGGATTGCCATGAGACAGGGAATGGCCTGTTTTGCAACCTCTGCCGAAACAGCACTTACCCTGTAAAAATAGGCCATTTTTTTAGCTAGACTGCAACCCCTGTGTTCTGAATGAAATGCTTGTCATAAGGCAACATCAGAATGTCCCAGAGGTCCCATTATGCAACAGAGTGTTCTAAGGAGACTATTTCTAGAAAAATGCCTACCTTTCCACCCAGACTTTTATTAATGTTTCCATGAAAGCCTGTTTTTATTTAATTCTGAAAAATAAAATAATTTCATTCCAGATTGTCTTGGTCATGTTTTCTGGCAAGCCTAGGAGGCTTTTAACAGCTGCACAATAGGCAATTATTCAGTAGGTGAAGCTTTCCCCCATCATTGCTTCTCCATTGGGAAAATACTTCATCTGTTGAATTTCCACATGACATGCAGCTGTAAATGCACAGGAGTCATGCCAGAAAAAAGCAGCTCCCTTTGTTTCAACTGTTTATAAAGAAGTAAGTAGTAATGAGATCAGAAATAATCCAAAGAGTTTTACTGCTCAATACAGTCCTGATACAGTGACCAGGACCAAGGTCACTTACAGTGCTATCCTAAACAGAGTTAAACCCTTCTAAACCCATTGATATCAGTTGGCTTAGGTAGGTGTGACTCTGTTTAGAATTACATTGTTGGTGAGCATTAAGGGATTAATCACTCCTAACAAAAGACCACATGGGCTCTCAGTTCCTTTTCATGTGGAATGAAGGCATTTCTACTTTACACAGATATAGTGATGCCAACCTCCAGGTGGGACCTGGGGATCCCCTGGAATTACAGCTCATCTCCAGAATATAGATATCCGCTCCCCTAGAGAAAGTGGATGCTTTGGAGGGTGGACTCTATGGCCTTGCACCCCACTGAGGTCCCTGTCCCTCTCCAGGCTCCATCCTTAAATCTCCAGGATTTTCCCTACCTGGGTCTGGCAACCCTACACAGATATGTGCTAAATGGGACCTTGTTAATGAACCCCCCAGATGTATTTGCACCACAGTTGATCCTAAATTGGTTGAACGGACTAGAGATATAGCGTTAAAGAATGATTACAATTATTTCGGATAAATTTTAAATACTGCAGTGGCTTACTTAAGAATTTGTTCTGTTGGTGTATATTAAGTGCTTTTTTGCCCATTCAGAATCTTCACAGATATTGCATTCATGTATATTATTCATTTTGGAGCTGCGGTGGCTCAAGTGGTTAAGACGCTGAACTGCAGGCTGTGGAAGGTCGGTAGTTCAGCAGTTCGAGATCTGAGTTGCCGCATGACGGAGTGAGCTCCTGTCTCTAGTTCCAGCTCCTGCCAACCTAGCAGTTCAAAAGCAAGAAATTGCAAATAGATAAGTAGGCACCACTTTGGTGGGAAGGTAACAGCATTCCGTGCGCCTTGGTGTTTAGTCATGCCGGTCACATGACCACGGAAACGTCTTCGGACAGCGCTGGCTCTTCGGCTTTGAAACGGAGATGAGCACCGCAACCCTAGAGTCGGATTCGACTGGCTTTCGAGCAAGGGAACCTTTACCTTTACCTATATTATTCATTAGGGAAGGCCCTGACAGCCTGCATCTTGACAAGCTCAGTTCAGCCTGCTGGCGATGAATGGCCCTAAGCCTCCTGGTTTTTTTGCTGCCTCTTTGGGGGCAAACTTGGTGATCAGGGCAAACTGGCATTGCCATTTAACTGATCCCAATTGTTTCCTCCCCCCACAGGGCAAAACATACAAGCATGTTTCTGTGTGCTTTCTCGGCCAGAGCAAACAGCAGCTCTGAGGCAAGGATGGGGCAGCAACTGATGCTGGGAGAACTGTACCCTGATCATCCAAATCTGAGGCTTCTTGGGCTAAGTTTAGCTCTTTTAAAAACCTGTGGAAGCTCCTAATCATGTCCTCAATACGCTGGCTTGCTGGATCACACTGTGCAGGCCCTGCATTAAGAGACAGGGTAGGATTCAAAAACAGCCCCCTCAGGTTCCCAACACAAACTTCATGCTAGCTTTTATTAGGAAGCTGTAATTGCTTCTTGAAGTTATTAGGGGTACATTGATGTGCCATGCTTTGAAAAGCACAGTGTAATGTATCCAGCTCGGACCGCGTGGCCAGCTTGGGCTCCACACGGTCAAGCGCAAACGTCGAGCTTTGCTCAAGGAAACAATTAACTAAGCGGATCCTGGCCCGCACCTATCAGAGGGCTAGGTTCCCGGCCGAGAGCCTATGGAACTCTCAGCCACTGTAAATAACCTATTGTGATGTGGGGGTGTGTTCTGGGTGGTGGTTTCACGGGGAATATAAGCCGGCCTGCGAGCCGGCTAAAGTGCTCTTGTTCCTCACTAATAAAGTATGTTAGCTGAAATCACTCGCCTATCTGCGTACTTTTCACACAGTCTATCAAGCACATCCTCAGTTCAAAAGGGCTTTTGCAGTCCTGCAATCAAACACACTTGGAATCAGCGGAGGCTGCAGCGGAGGCTGCAGGGGTTTGTGTGTTGCATCTTTAATTTACTAAGCAGGGATTCCCCACCCCCAGTGACTGCAACTTGGAAGAGTTTTCGTTCCTTAAAAATTTCACAAGTCTATTTTCAGAGCCTATCAAGATGAAAACACTTATGCAGATGTGCACCAAGCAGTTTGTTAACTATGGTTACATGTTGGCACTGCAGGCTTCAGCTCACCTGTGTTTCATGTCATTTGGGTTTGCACTGGTGAGAATCCGTCTGCATTAGCCATAGTTAAGAGTTGCCGGCTCTGGGTTGGGAAACACCTGGAGATTTTGAGGCTAGAGCCTGAGAATGGTGGGGTTTGGGGAGGGGAGGGACTTCAGTGTTGTAGAGCCCACCTTCCAAAGTGGCCATTTTCTCCAGGTGAACTGATTGATCTCTGTTGCCTGGAGATCAGTTGTAATAGCAGGAGATCTCCAGCCACCATCTGAAGGTTGGCAACCCTATTAAGTCATAGTAAAACTCTCGCACAGACAGGGTTTGTATGGTTGCAGTGAGTTTTCTATGAAAATATACAGGATAGCAGATGGGTGCTTTATTTGTACCATTAGTCACTAACTGTGCATATCTTTGTGGGAGCATAAGCTTTACATCCGGTTTGATGAAGAGTTCTAGAGAACTCAGAAACTTGCACACTATTTTGTGTTTTTTGGTTGGTACTTATAAAAGGTATTCCATCGTTTTCAATGGTCTAATCAGAGATTTTTTTAAAAAGTCCCCAGTCATCTCACTAGGAAAGTACTTGTAATCCCAGATGTGTGCTTGGTAGCTTGGCAGTTTGGTAGTCAGGCAAAGCACTCTGCACATGGACAAAAGAAATCTACCATCCATCCATCTATTTAATTATTACCACATTGGCAGTTGCAGAACATAATCTTGGCACTGAAAACAGGTTATGAATCTGTGTGTTCATGAGCCTTGGATCAAATTAAGCAGAATCCAATCTTTATGCTTTTTCTGAGTGATCCTATAAATCCTAGCTACTCAATCCATCTGATTTTATACATGTTTACTCAGTGAGGGAGAAAAATCTTACCAAATTGGGTTTAGGACTGCCATCTTGAGTTTTATAGTAGTCTCCTGCTGGTTTCTGGCCTATCACAAGAGCTTGCCAGTGGCAGATATTTCAACGTCTGCTTAACCCTTTCTCCTGTACCATTTTCCCGATCTAGATAGCCTCTTAACCGAAAGGTATTTGCTCCATGGGAGAATCTTCAGGATCACTTCAAGTGGAGACTTGTATGAATGAGCACACCTCTCCCCACAGCAAAGAATTCTGGCCTGATCTTGTTGACATACTGATTTTTTAGGAACTGGAGGATCCAGTAGGTATTTTCACCCACAGCCTGAAATGGTTCAGTCTAGATTTAGAAACTATGAAAACTGGTGTTTCTGTGGGATGTAGAAGAACCTCCTTTTTTTTACAATTGTTTGTAGGCAAGACACTATCAATCCGAGCCTATTTTTAATGGGGCATGTAATAATACACATTTATCCGGGAATCTGCAAAACCTATTTACTTATGGCCATCAGAGAAGAGACTGAGGAGTGGGCATCCGTGATTTCCATGGGGCTGGATCCTCCTAATTAAGCATCATATGTGAATACCCGCTACTGTTTACCGCATTTTTCTTTCTTATATGAAACAGGTTTTCTGATGGTGCTTTGTGGCTTGCACAAAGGGAGCGAATTAGCGTTTTCTACGCACGCCTCTGGCTTTGCGTCCATGTGCCGGCCTAATTGCTGACCAGGGTCTACGTGCCTGCCTCTGCATGTGCCACATTTGCCCGGCGACCCCCACCGATCCCATAAAGACTCTCGAGGTTCTTCGTTGGTAGCGCATCGCTCGGCCCCGCCTGTCGGGCCGGGGCAGAAAGGTTCTGCTCCCTCCTTTCGGAGGCCCCGCCCCAATCACCGGGCGGGAGGCCTTCCAGGCCGGGGGTCCCGCTGCTGCATCCGGGCAGGGCGGAGGGGCGGGGAGCGCGGACTGCGCGCTATGATGAAATCCCCTCGCCGGGCGGGTATAGGGCGCGCGGTGGCTCATTGCAATATTCAGCAGCAGCAGGGCGAGGGCACCGGCGTCTCGTCTCCTCTCTCTTCCTCCTCCTTCTCGTCCTCCTCCTCCTCCTCTCCGAGCTGCTCCATGGCAGAGCTGCCCTGACTCCCCCGCTGCACCGCGCCGCCTCCGCCACCGCCGCCGCCCGCTCCGGCCCGGAATGATCTGAACCCCCCAGCGGAGACGCACCGGAGTCCAGCGCTATTGCCGATCGCAGGTGAGCGGCGGTGGCGGCTTGGCGGGGTTCCCTCCGTCTGTCCGGAGGGAGGAGGAAATTGCAGGTGTGGGGAGAGCACGAGATCGGAGAGATCCTCCATGGATTGGCCAGGGCGGGGGGTCATAGCGTTGGCCTGAAGGTGAAACGCGCGCACACACACCCGTGGGTGGGCCGGCGACGCGTGGCTGAGATCTGCCTTTTGGGGAGGAGGGGACTCTCTTCTGATGCCTGGCGAGGCTGGCTCGGAATCGGGGGGCTGATAGAGAGAGAGGTCA